TTGAAGGTTAGCAGGTAAGATTGAGTTAGGGTCAAGGGTGGTGAGTACCTACCTATAACTAGGTGCTACTGCTATGCAGGTCTTGGGTAGGCTGCAAATATGTGTGATGATTGAGGCTAGGTCAGCTGTCAGGCTAGTCAGGACTAGGAGTATGCTCATTGCTCAGGTCACATTTTTATGGACACTTGGCAAATTAAAAAACTAACAATCTAATCTAAGCTAACCCGACTAAACATACACAACTACTGACTATAGGAACTAAGCACCTACCTACCTACTTGTGCATACATCTCATACCATGTCAAAGTAGACTATATAAAATATAGTCTACTATGTAGTCTACTACTACTATGTATATGTAGACTATATAGACAAAGTAGACTGTAGAGTTCCTTGGTGGAAGATTACCCTCAGTACTTTTTATCCCAGCCCTGTGAAGAAAACTAATACTTCAAAGCTCTGAGTCACTGCTGGCCATCCACAGGAAGAAACGCTGAGACTGAGAGCTTTGCCATTGTATATTGGACAAATAATCACTATCACGAATGACTATGAACACATTATATGATCACATCGTTGCATGGATTGTCACATTGACAATTCTACTATAATCCTTTTTTCAAGAAATACAGTGATGATTAACATCAAAATCAACATAAGGTGGATTTAGTGATCCAAGCTTTCTCCTCCAGTAGCAATAAGCTAGAATGATCGCATGTTTCATTTGCCAGACACTGAGTACCTGATGCACATTACAATCTGCATAGCATGAAGCATCTAAGCTGTCCAAGTCCATTCATTCTTGATTTTTAACTTGAAAGTTAGCACTAATTTATCTTGCTGTTGTAAGTTATCATTCAATATCCATACCAATACATCAATATGCGCTCACCAGTCAACATTTTCTGGCATGATCCTGCTCAGCTTGCTCTTCAGTAGGTCAAGGTATTGCTCCAAGGTCTGCAATATTATAGCTTGTTTTTGGCCAATAAGCTCTTTTAATTTTATTTTTTCTTGCTGATATATGAGCCCGATCACCTTGCGTTTATCAACCAAAATTTCATAACTTGTTCAACTTGATATTGATATTGCTCAGGCCTCAGGTGTCAGGACCTCTGTCAGCCTCCTGGATACTTCGGATTGTTTTCAGTCAACATGCTTCTTAAATATGATATAAGTCAATATCAATATTCAAAACATCCAACAAAACGACGTACAAGAGTAAGAAAACCACCAGATAAACTAAAAAACGGCCTTGGAACAGAGCCAAGTGGTGCTCCATTTGTTTGTTTACAATGATTGTAGTGCTGATGTATTTTTAGGACTCTGAACGTCGGCTTATAAAAAATGAAACGTTTTTACAAAAGTTGTAAGGCAAGTAATATTTATCTGAAAGAACTAAAATATTCAAAAGCCAAACACTATGAAATACGTGAATCGGAACGAAAAAGTAACCCAAAATCCAGCCTAATCACCGGCTCTTAAAACTGCAACAAAATCAGCACTTTTCCCCGCAACTCGTTGTCCAGACGTAAATATGCTGCAAGGTGGGAGAGGTTGTGTCAGGTTAGGATGGATTCTATTTCGGGTTATATTTCTGAGGGATGAGGGAAATTGTATACAAGCAGTTTATTTGCCGATGAATGCCATTCATTTTACCTTTCGACCTCCTGGCTATTCATTGTGATGCATGTATACCGCTAAAAGCTGGAAGCACTAACTTCGGACTAAGGAGGTCAGATTGTAGAAGAGCTTCGAAGAGCTCGAAGAGCTCGTTCGGAGAGCCCCTGTCTTTTTGAAGGAGCTCTCTCTGTGCCATATGATTAATTTACAGTAACTTAACTTACGTACTTACGTAATACCTACACTAGATGTCTGGCTCTCGATATAATTACAATCCTTATAAGATTGCCCAGCGTTGTATAAAAGGAAATAGCATCTGTCAGTCGCATACACACTTGCTCAGAAAAAGATTCACTACGATCTCAAGGAATTTGTGTGCACCAAACAGAATAACGTTTATCTACACAATAACCTGGTATATAGAAAGGGCGCCTTGAACCACCCTCTAGTAATTCCAGAACGCGGGTCAATTCCTCATTGACATTGACCTGGATGGCTGCTGGGGCAGATCACCCCCAAATTGATGCCATAGTGCCTTACTGCATACAAGCTATCGAATCGTTTTGATGGAAAACTGATGACGGGCTACGTCTTCCCGCCTTCATCTATCTAACGCAGACATGACAGCGTCAGACATGGCCGATATGAGTGTGATCTCGATTTGACAGTCCGAGAGCCGTCACATGACAGCTTGTCATGACAGCTTGTCAAATGACATGACAGCTTGTCAAAGGGAGCCTTTGGACGGCGAGACACGCTGCGTCTTCTGGGAATGGAATATAATTCCACGCAATGAAATCTCGGGTGATCCGAATCCTTACGGCATGTGTATCCTGAAATGCACTGGGACTCGGCTACTAATACGGAGACCTACAAATATAGTTTTGAGCATAATGTATGTCTTTAAATTCGCCTACATCTTTCAAAAATCTAGTGATTAGCAAGGATTACTCTACCTACATTGTGATGAAAGATTGCTAGAGAGGCCGCTTACTGCTGAAGAACATGCCGTAAAAACGTTGGCGTACGGACGCGATATCTAACTCTCCACTCGGCTCACCAAAGAGGCTTAGGCACCTTATGGTCCGTCCAATCCTCTTCCAGCGGTGGTATTTGCCTTCGCAAAAATAGACGATCCTATTTGCACGGTTTGTGGAGAAAGCTGTGTTTGCACAATCAATCGCATCCCATCACCTTCCGCCAGGTCGATAAGCGCCCGTTTGAATAATGTCTACATACTATATCATTTAGTTTTAGCCGTGGGTCAATACAATCTTGAGTTGAAGGCTGCACAGTTTGGGTGTTCTTACTTGATGATGCTTGACCCGTTTGTCGGTCTTTGCACTTCGGCTGGTTTGCGTTCGCCCATTTATAGATGTATGGATTATACTGATTGGATGCTCATATGCTGATCGGGTGGGAGATGGCAGGCTCACATGTGACATCCCGATTCAGGAACATCCCGTTCACTCGCGATTGAACATGCAACGATTTCCTCCAGCGCCTCAAACAAAGATAGAGTTTCAAACGATTTCTTCGTGCATACGGCTCTACTACGTATAGTGCGTGCAGTACGAGCGCGTGCCTAATATGTATGTCGGATATTAACCCGGCAGTTGCTGGGATATTTTGCCGTCCATCACTTCCTGGGGAGGCGTTTAACGCCCCCAATCAATAACTCAGAACCAATAGCCGCAGCGAGACGGGCGAGGCGTGGGCAAACGAAGGCTCGTGACAAGACCCTTTCTACTGAGTAACTAAAATTTCAGTTTTAAGGGCACGGGCTGGGTCACTGTTAGGTCGAACACTCGATGTTGGGCTTCCAGTAGCACGAACTTTGAGACCCCGTCTTGGACATCGCTCGTCATAAACTCAGTCAGGATTGTGCAAAGTCTGACACCGAAGTGCTACGCGACTGCCATGCTTAGCTGCCATGCTTAGCTGACACTTGCTTATGCAAGTGTCAGCTAAGCTGAAGGCCAGGATTAAGGTCAGGTCAAACAGATCACTACATTTTTTAAGTAGGCATCACTGATCGTGATCGTGATCGGTCAGTGATCGCCCGCTTGACTGAATGCCTCCCTTTTATGTGAGCTGGTTGACCTCCGTGCCTCAACCGTGCACGGTTGAGGGCGCCGTGGCGTCCGTTCCCTAGTGAATATTTAGATAGGTATGTAGGCATGCATGCCTAGTCACAAAACACTGCCACGCTGGTGGTTCTGGGTAAGCTGTCACAGGTCAATATTGGGGATCGGTTGGGAACAGAATTACACATATTATTTATAGCGATTATTTTTCATATGTTTTTTTTTCTTCTGAACATAGGCATGATATTTCTTATTTTACTTCAAGACAATACTCTCAGTCTCCGGTCTTATTGGAAATAACGCGCTCCGAGTGCCTCTTTCTTGCCGACGGATACACACTCAGGTCCCGCCTATTCGCAGTCTGAAGTAGGTATATTTGGCCGCTATAATTAGTGTTGCAGCTCGCGCTGCAGCGCGCTGATAACGGTAAAATGGGGCTTTGCCCGGCAACTTTTCACCGGCGTGTGCGCGCCCACTGCCAAAACTTGTCTCGGGGCCCGGGTAAAGTTGAATTCATATTCACGGCCCACCATTGAGCGCGGTCCATGAGTAAAGGTCACATGAATAGGTTCCGTAGCCGCCAGGGAAAATTTTCAGCGGAGTTCTGATTCCATGTAAAACTATCATTCATCGTGCAATCGAAAATATACGGCGCTCCACCTTCTCGGTCCATATATCAATGTGGGACCGACCTATGTAAGCATCACCAACGATGATAAATAAATTACAATCAGCCTGTTCGTAAATAAACCAGCTATCTAGTCCTGTCTTGACCCTACTGCCCCACTTACTGCCCTGAGCTGACCCTGCTGCCCCATTCCCTGACCTGACCTGACCCTAGTTACTTTCTCGCTCACTGACCAGACCCTACCTGCCCACTCCCTGACCTGACCTTACTGCCCCACTCCTTGCCTTGATCTGACCTTACTGACCCACTTCCTGACCTGACCTTACATATACTTCCCCACTCCCTGCCCTTACCTGACCCTACTGCCCCACTCGCTGCTCTGAGCTGACCCTATACTTCCTCACTCGCTGCCCTACCCTGATCCTACTGCCCCACTCGCTGCCCTGATCCTACTTAGTACTCACCCACTCGCGCGCTGTCCTGACCCTTCTTACCCACTCACTGCTCTGACCTGGCCCTTCTGTCCCACTCGCTGACCTGACCTGGCCCTCCTGCCCCGCTCGCTTCCCTGCCTTGTCGCCCTGACCCTACCGGCTACCACCCACCCGCTGCGTCAACTTATGCCTCCCATTGACCCAACCCTCTCTTTCTCTCTGCGACAGGACTGGGCTGTCAGGTGGCCGGCTTTCTGACCGTGTTCGCCTCGGAGCTGTCCGTGTTCACACTGGTCACAATCACCTGCGAGCGCTGGTACGCCATCACCAACGCCATCTATCTCACCAAGCGACTCCGCATCACCGGTGCAGTCAGGTACAGACAGAGGGCGCCAGGGGCGGAGCCGAGGGTGAGCCGTGGATTTTATAAATGCATCTGTCTATTGTATTTGGATCCAGTTTACATATTGATTGATGTGCTTTTTTCAGGGTGATGGCAGTCGGCTGGCTTTACTCGGCAGTCATGGCGGCCTTCCCATTGGTCGGCATCGGCAGCTACAGCAAGACGAGGTAGGAGAAAATGCCAAACGGATAGCGACGCTTATGAACGTCTCATTTTTTTTTATGCGCAAGCCACTCCTCCAGGATCGACAGACCTTGAGCATTTCAGAATACCAGCATTTCAGCATTTCAATGGTATATGCAGAAATTATAGCAATGCTATTGTCAGTTGTCACTCATTATCAGATGTGACGTTTATCTCAATACGTTCTCAATTCATAAACTCCGTATCCGCTCTCAGTTCATAGCCCGATATTCGTTCTCAGTACCAACTCGGCATTCGTTCTCGGTCGTAATTCGGTGTCTGTCCTCAGTCGTAATTCGGTGTCTGTCCTCAGTCGTAATTCGGTATTCGTTCTCGGTCGTAATTCGGTGTCTGTCCTCAGTCGTAATTCGGTGTCTGTTCTCAGTCGTAATTCGGTGTCTGTTCTCAGTCGTAATTCGGTGTCTGTTCCCAGTCGTAATTCGGTGACTGTTCTCAGTCGTAATTCGGTGTCTGTTCTCGGTCGTAATTCGGTGTCTGTTCTCAGTCGTAATTCAGTACCCGCTCTCCGCCCTGACCGCGCGGACCCCGTCGTGTCTCCCCCAGCATCTGCCTACCCGTGGTGCAGGACGGCCAGGACCAGGCGGGCATCGCGTTCCTGCTCTTCCTGCTACTGGGTAACTGCCTGGCCTTCCTGCTGATCTCCTGGTTCTACCTGAGGATGTACTGCAGCATATCCACAGTGGAGCGCGGGCTCGTCAGACCCAACGATCTCAAGGTGCGTACTACAGCATACTCGTATCTACGGTGGAACGCGAGCTCGTCCGGCTCAACGACCTCAACCTGCGCCATCGCCACAGGGTGAGGAGGGAAAGTACCGTAGGTTCGACCTTCTATATTTATCGGCCGGTTCCAGTCATCGACATGCGCGGCGGAGCTATCAGTAACTGGAAAACTATCGAGGAACTTCGATTGCCTCGCTGCTTGAACACTTCAAACGCATTTATTTTTATACGTGACCCTGAGTGACCCTCCTGATCGGCTTTAAAGGAAATAGTTCACTTTTTAACATGGGTTTTGAACTGGAATAGCAGTTCCGTAGCTTGGGCTGAGACGAGCATAAATCAGGAGCTTTTACAGCCCAACGATCACCCTAGGCAAAGATATTCTATTTCTCGTCCCGAAAAAGGTGTCTTGCGTTGAGGATGTGTGCCTTGCATATATTTCCATCCAGTATGAAAAGAGCATGGGTCCCGAAAATTATTCAGAAACTAGAGAAATTATCTACGAGAACTCTAGAGAAATTCTCGTACTGATCAATTAGGACATTCAGGGGAACATTATCAGATCGAGCAGATCGCCCAAATGCCGGTGGCTGCGATAATTTCTCTGTTTCTGAAGAATTTTCGGGACCCATGCTCTTTTCATACTGGATCGCGTGTGCCTTACAGAAACTGAAAAGTTCTTCCTATATCAAAATATAGAAAAAAAATCCTTTGTTATAAAAAGGTTTTATTTTCTTTGCTGATTATTTTGAACATAAAAAATAATAAATCGTTGCAAAAAAAAATAATTTCGTGAAAGTGAACTATTTCCTTTAACTCTACTTCGAAGGAAATGTTTCATTTGAAGTACTCACTTTAACAAACGTCGCAGTAGCCTGATCAAAGAATGTCGAAACTATATAACTACGCGGGGGTTTCCCGGGTCGGTGCCAGAAACACAACACAGGTCCGAATAGTTCTAACGTGCCAGCGCCGGCAACAGAGACGTGGGTAGCGGTATCCGGTTTGAACTAGAGCCTCAGTCCCCTGTCACTGTCATGAGGGACGCTATCATCCTGTCGTGTGTCGCGCGGCCCCAACAGCCGCCCGCCGCTCCAGCTATCAGTGATCGAATCGGGACACGCCGGCACGAAATCCGCCTACGGTCTAACAACGCTACCGGATCCGTCTGGCCCCGTGGGGTTCCGGCGCAATAGACACGTCCTGAGGCGCCGGGCTGGGATGTTACGTGTTACGACGTGGGATCAGACAATGCTGTCATGTTATGACCGCCTGTAATTGCATGTACCGACACGTGGACAAAGATTCCCTTTATACATATGTCATGTGACTTCTGTCGCCCGCATGTTATCAAACAGAAGCGTCATTCGTCTTTTTTGTGTCCGACAGGTTGCTAAGCGGATGGCTCTCCTAGTGTTCACCGACTTCGCCTGCTGGGCGCCCATCACATTCTTCGGCGTCACTGCCATCATCGGCTTCCCGCTCATCAACGTCACCAACTCCAAGATCCTGCTGGTGTTCTTCTACCCCATCAACTCGTGCGCCAACCCGTACCTCTACGCCATCTTCACCAAACAGTTCCGCCAGGAGTTCTTCCTGATGCTGGGCCGGCGCGGTCTCTGCCGCCGCCAGGCGCTGCGTTTCCGCGCCGCCGGCACCCTCTCGCGGAACGACCTGCTGAAGCTGTCCAACGGCTCGCGCTCGACGCAGCCACGCAGCGGCCAGACGCTGCTCGAGATGTCGTCGATGCGCTGCCGGAAGCTGTCGGCAGAGTCGGGCGGCGCGCTGTCCGAGGGTCGCTCGGCGTCCGGCGCCGCGCCCGAGCGCAAGCCGAGCGGCCGGCGCGACTGTCGGCTCAGCCCGGTGCTCGAGGCGTCGCGCACCGCCGAGGCCAGCGTGGCCACTGTGCCGGCGCACCAGACCCTGCTGCCGGCCGCGGACCCCAACTCGGCGCCCACCTAGGGCTGTCACTCGGCCGGGTGGGCAGGGTATTCAGTCAGACTGTGGGAGGGTATCAGGGGTGGGTTACTGTGGGGCGTGTGCGCATGAGCGTGAAGTGTTCCTGGCGGGCTGGGCGGACAGCCGGCCGCCTTGCAATGTGGGTTGGTGTTATCGGATTGTGGTGAGCTGTTTGTCGTTTGCCGTGAGTCGCTACACTGTTCCTGAGCCATAGAAGGCACCAGTGAAGTGGTTGATGTATGGCGGTCCTACGGCGCACATGCTTGTTCATCGATCGTAGGGCCAAGAACACTGCACACACACGTTTGACGAAAAGACGCCATTATTTGTTATGTGATTTTCATTCATGTACGTAAATATCGTCCATTATGGTATAAGTAGTTATTCACGGTATGCTACGTGCGCGATGGTGAGGAATACGCCACGCTCTTGTATTGCACCGTTCAGTCCGGCGAATATCTGGCTCCTTGCGGCTCAGTCGGGTGGATTACGGACTCAGACCGGCGAATATCTGGCTCCTTGCGGCTCAGTCCGGCTCAGTCCGGTAAATGACTGACTGAGTCCGGTAAACGAGTTATATCTGCAGCTGACAGATAATTTGGTGCGAATGCAACGAAATCGACCCCTCTTACATAATTGTGTACTATTCCTCCCCCTTTCCATCTCCTCTTGTGTTACCTACACTTCCTTCTTTCTTTTCCTGTGCTCAGTTTCTGTGTGTCCGTTTGCTAAGCATGCTATCCTTATTCGATGTCATCATCCCTTTCAGTATTTCTCGCTAACCTCATACGCACCTGTTAGTCTGTCTGCCTGTGTCTGTCTGTTTGTAAAACAAACAACATGTTCCCTCCCTCTCCCCCCCCCCCTCTCTCTCTCTCTCTCTCTCTCTCTCTCTCTCTCTCTCTGTAGTAGTTATGTACTCTTTCTCTCCCTGTCCTCCTTGTCCCCTTTCTCTATCTGTCCCCGCGTTTCCCCCGGACCGTAGGCGGTGGTTCGCTGTTCGCACACCCACGTTGGGGTGATGTGTAAGTGTTGCCCTTCTTCCATATTACAGCGAGGAAAGACACATCGCTGCGTCAAACGTTTGACGTTGTATGATGACATTCTGTGAGGTACGACGGCATCGGAGATGCCGTCTGTTTTGTGACGTCAATTCGTTTTTATTTTGCATGAGACTTCCCTTCCGCATTGCTCATACCTAAGCAAGGCCCCGTTCAAGAACATTGAAGATGTATTTGAGAATCATGAGTTATGCCGTATTGGAAACGGGATCGGGATGTATTGCGTGTCGGTAGAACGTTATATCTCTGTACAACTGTATTTGGACGCCATTTTAGACGAATGGGGATTGTATTGAGCGAAATAGTTCGTTATCGAGATGCTGCTTCTAATAAAACATTTTTCCTAACCATATGACTGAAAGTTATTCTGCACATGACTTGGGGGGTCTCTACAGGTCTCTACAGAACCGAAGTTCGTTTTTCTGCAATATCTTCAAAACCGCTCGACGCATTCACACGAAACTTTCAGTCTGGGCTTCAGATACATAATAGCCATTTTCACGACACTTTCCAGACCTATCAAATTATCAAATAGGTTCCACCGCGAAAGTTCCGTCGTGAAAACGGCCGTTATTCACCAATTCACCAAGACACCACCGGAGACGGAATTGTTAACCCGGCGGTGTCATGTTTTTTATGTGGAGAGATGCCCCGCTTGCTTTGCTTTTCCACCAATCCTTGAGTTGAATGAGTTGAGTCGGAGCCATTTTTTGTGAAGCTCCGTTTTTCGTATAGGGGGCAAAAGTCGATGACTCCGGGGACAATTCGTTAAATTACGGAGGCAGCTTCCCCACCCCCACCCTTAGTTAGTGAGTAGTTAACCCGCGCCCTGCTGGGGGGGGGGGTGTTTGAACACCCCCCTTGTGGTTTTTCGCAAATATCTCAAAAACGGCGGCGCGGAGCGCCGCCGTTTTTGGTACACCTTATCATACATCAATTCTACACATGTTGTGAAAATTTCAGACCAAGGTCATTCAAGGTCAGGTCACCAGGTCACTTGAAGTGACCTCACCTCATAAAAAGTTTCAATGTCTGTCATAGCTACACCGAGTGACCGATCGCTTTGAAACTTTCAGCGATTGCTAAGAGCAATAGCATGTACAAAATGTATATCTCAGAATTTTGATATCGATGACCTAAGGTCAGGTCAATTTTGCGACCTCCCCATTATAAGTCAATGGGAGAAAATTGAAATGCGCCTCTTTTGGTCGTAAGACATTATAAACACTCCCAAACACTGAATTACAAGTGGTTTAGACACACTGAACATGAAAATGGTGTCCGTGACCCCGGTTTATGCCCTGAGGTCATCTTAGGTCACGAATAATATCTAACAGTTTTTCGCAAATAACTTTTGATAGAGGCATGCTAGAGCGATGAAAACGCCTTAGATGTGTTCAGCTCGACGATACGGATCGACTGATATGCAACATGACCCTTTCCGGTCAGGTCATGACCTTGACCTGCAAGGTCAAATTTTCAAGTTGACCTTTCAAGGTCAAGTTATAGTTCATTCGATGCGTCTTGACGAGAGGAACACGATGCCGGTAAAAGTAAGCTCGTACAAGGCTTGAATCAAAAGTTATTGCAGAAAAACTGTTTCCGAAAAAAATCGGCTATTTTTGCAGTTTTTGCCCCCTGCAGGCAAAACCGTTGACGTTAGGTCAAATCTGAGAGGACTACTCAGAAAGGGCGTTAATAGGGCTATCGAATGCGCTTTTCCGCAGCGCTGTAGCTCTATTGGTTCCCGAGTTATGCGTTGGTTTCATGGAAATTGTCGGCATTCGACCTGGAAATCGGCGAAATTTTGCCTTCAATGACCTCTGGTGACCTGACCTTTGACCAGGCCAAAAAATTGACCGAAGTGATTTCCTCATTATTTTTGACGCTCTTTCGAACGCCGCCTTCCGCGTATCGCTACGTGGCCCAGGAGCCGAGTTAGAAGGGGGGTGTTCAAACACCCCCCCCCCCCAGCAGGGCGTGGAAATCCAGGACCCCCAGCCGGGCGGCGCATTTACAAACTGTATACACGTCTTCGGAGCGCCAATCATATTGCACCAGCCGCTGGCGTGACGTCGGCCATGACGTCAGAGAAGGGGCGGAGCGAAGTTGGTTAGCCAGCTGCACAGGGGAGCAATGCCGCTTCGCTTCAACCATAGGGCTGTTCACGACGTCGGTTTATGTGGTTTACATAAACTGCCCTCGGGGCACGTTCCCGGCTGTGACGTCACACGGCGTTTACGTTTACGAAACACGAGTGTTTACTTAACCCGCGACCGCCTGGGGGGGGGTCGGATCCGACCCCCCCCTCCGTTTTTCTTGAATAACTCATGAACCGCTTGCGCTATCAACTTGAAACTTGGCATACCTTCTCCCCCATCAATTTAACGTCTCCTGTGCAATTTTTAGAAAAAAAAATTCAAAAATTTTTGAGATATATTGATTTTAGTGACGTAACTACATGGCGTTTTCAGTCAAAAAATGGTAAATGTTTAAAAAATCGCCAAAAATCGAGGTTTTAAGCAAATTGCAAATTAAGGACATGAAAAGACGCACCTCAACGAGTTCTTTAAAATGGCTATCTCGGATTTTCCATAAAATGCGTTTTTCACCCCTAAAAATTCAAAAAACTATATTTCTTAGAAAACAGCTAATAAAATCCAAAATTTTGAGAATTTCCAAAAAACCGGAATATATGTTATAGAGCTCTATTAGAACATTAGATGTCCCAAATTTCAACTTTCTATCTTGATTTTTGACCCCCAAATTGTAAAAAATAGCTCCAACATGCATAGGGCATGGTGACGTCATAAGCATTTTCGCGAATTAGAGGCACTTCTGAACATCGCATGTGAAAACAAATGGCACCACTAGATTCCTGGGACAAAGCTCGTCTAGAAAAGTGCATTTTCATGTCAAAAATAAAAAGTTGAAAAATTGACTTTTTTCTTAGCCCTCGTTTAGTTATGCATGGTATAAACGATTTCTTATGCTTTCAATGCACACTTATCACCAGCACAGTGACTTGGGGTCACATATAACCATTACCATCGGATTTGGCGTGAAAAATAAGCCATAAAACATGTGTCGCACGCCCATGTAGCAGAAAGTGAAAACCGTGACCTTTCGTGACCTGACCTGACCTTGACCCGTACTTAGTATGACCCCTATACGCACATGGTACCTTCACTAGGTCTTTGAGGTCATTTGTGGTGAGTTTCGAGCAGCAGCTATCGATTCCGCTGTCCGTAAGCCTAATCATGCAAAACCCCTGAATTTGACCTTTGACCTGACCTTGACCCGAAAGTTGACCTCAATCTTAAGAGTGCTTTGGGAAGGTCTCGTAGAGACCTTTCGAACGCCGCCTCGCGGGGCTCGATACGACCATTGGTTCTCGAGATAACAGGGGGGGGGGGTCGGATCCGACCCCCCCCCCCAGGCTGTCGTGGGTACGGAAATAGCCCAGGCGGTGCCGGGTTAAACAGTGACAACTAATAAGCAGTTGAGAAGATACTGTAAAAGGTGCAAGGAAAAGATAATATGATGGAAATATGTCCCATATCATGACACATTGCAAGAATAAGGACAGTTTTCATCACAAAATACCCACGACGCTAGACGCTGGTTAGCAGAGAGCGATGCTCAAAATAGGTCTTAATTACAATGAAATAATAAAACCTCCCATTCCAGTCCTCTCCAACCCGTACAGGGTTATTTTGAAACTCATTTACCCACCTACCAGCCCCTGAACTGTCCGAATTCAATTTTCCTAACTCACAACTCGCCTCACGAGTTTGCCGCACATCGCCATCATTGTTACATATATCGGGGTTACATGAGTACAGTAAATACGTATTTAGCCGCTAATTCGAATTAGGAACGCATTACCAACTCATGTAGCCACCTGCTAGTACGAATCGGCGATCCGATCCGCGGTTACATGAGCAAAGCAAATACGTATCACGATCGGATTCACCGCTAATGCGAATCAGGAGCGTACTACCGACTCATGTATCCACCTGCTAATACGAATCGGCGGTCCGAACAAAATCCGCAGGGAAAGAGGCTTAGAAGCGAATAGGACCAAGATACGTATTATAGGAACTATTTCTTTCCAAAAAGAAACATTAAAATGTAAAATAAGAGGTATTTTTTTCATTTGCTTCTTTTGAAATAATAATTAAAAAAATATGTCGGTATTTTGTCAAGTTTTCAAAAATAAATATAGTGAAAACCAAAAAGAAAATATCAAAGTACTTTCAGTTGAAACATTTTCCTGACAGCACTACAGACGAATCAAGAGAGGCAAGTGCCCAGTAAACATGCCGACGTCGGCCCGACGTCGGCCGACGTCGGGGTGACGTCGGCAACTCGGCATCGGCATGCCGACGTCGGCCCGACGTCGGTCCAACCTCGGCACGACGTCGGCTGGATGTCGGATATGCCCGCATGTTCCGACGTCCAGCCGAGGTCCAGCCGACGTCGGGCCGACGTCGGACCGAGATCAATTGCTGAGGTCCAGCCGACGTCGGGCCGACGTCGGGGCGACGTCGGACCGACATCGGCCGCTGTTTTGACCGTTAAAATAATATAAAATACATGTTTCATGTTTCATAAAGAGCTTCTGTATTCAAAATATCCTCAGGAAACTCAAATCTTCCTCCACGCCGCAACCCCCTGATCCGGACTGGACGGGAAACTTTATCCCATTTGGGATTGCCCGTAAGCCGAGCTCGCCCGTAGCCGGGTGCGGTGAGTGCTTGGGGGCTGCTCGGCCTATCCTTTGGTCAGGCTCAGCCCCGGCAACTCACCAGGGCCGGGCCCAGTTCATATAGAAAGGCCAGTCGGCAAGTGTCACTTTGCCAAAGTGCCACTTATCAAAGGGACACTTTGGGAAACGTTGGTGCAGGTGTGTAAGAGTGGCTATATGAATCCATTGTGGGGTCGCCCTTTCCAATAAGTGTCACGTAACAGCAATGGGACCAGGGACTCTATATGAACTGGACCCAGGGTGCTCGCCAAGAAGACCAATGTCTCCATCCTATATAACTTCCGGCTCTGAAATGGTCTTCTCAGCCCGAAAGGGCATAACCGAACAAAACAAACCAAATCTGTTAGCTGGCTGCGTGGTGTAGTGGTTAGCGCACTAACCTCGCGTTCGAATGACACTGGGTTTGAATCCCATCGCCGGCTGATGCTTTTGGCGTGTTGTCCCAGTAAACATGCCGACGTCGGCGACTGGGGGGCTCGAATCCCGCCGCCGGTTGATATTTTTGGCGCGTTGTCCCAATAAACATGCCGACGTCGGCCCCGTCGGTCCAACGACAAACGATCTCGTCAAACTCGGCAAACGATCTCGGCCCGACGTCGGCTCGAAGTCGGCTGGACTTCGGCTGGTCGTCGGAACATGCGGGCATATCCGACGTGCAGCCGATGTCGGGCCGAGGTTGAACCGACGTTGGGCCGACGTCGGGCCGAGCCTCGGCCCGACGTCGGGCCGACGTCGTCATGTTTACTGGGTGCTCAATGAGTCAAAGCAAGACAAC